TTTCAAATGAAAAGTGTAGCAACAAACTTTGCACTTTTAAGAAAATACCCATGTAAAAATGTGGGGTTTTCTTTTTCATCCATCCCCAAACATTTCTGCATCCACCATCAAAATATCTAAGAATGAAAATTTAAAGTCCACCCACTTTCCCAGGTACAAATCTGGTCTCACAGAGGAACAACATTTGAAAAAAAAAATCCAGGTTTGGCTCATCAGGTCATGTTTCTTTAAAATGTAGCCTCGTGGATTAATGGAACTAGTGGAACACATAGTACTGTATTCTGAATGAAGACTCTGATTTAAAAATAATTGTCTTTGTCACCAGGGAGTGAGAATGGGAGAGACATCTACAAATATAGCCACGCTCAACATGAAACAGGCTGTCAAGATCAACGTGAAGGAAGGTTGCGAAGTGGATAACCCTTGTGATTCCAATCCGTGTCCCCAGCACAGCTACTGCAGTGACGACTGGGACAGCTACTCCTGCGTCTGCGACCCAGGTAACCCAGTGACCATCCTGTATACTCATCCAGGAGCTGGATCACATCTTTATGTGGCCATCAGAAGAAGAGCAGCGGCAGCAGCTGCATGCTTGCAAAGTGCTCGTATTCTGATTCTTGCTCTTCCAGTCAGTGTTATCTTTCTCAGTCTTACTGTAGCACTCTTGAAACTGCAGTCATGAACTAAGGAACATTTGTTCTAGGCAGCGTATCGTATCAACCAAACAGACAGTCTCTGGTCCAGAGGGCTCTTTCCATACATCTCCCCCTTTCTTTTTGTCTGTTTTCTTTGTCTCTATTTTTTTTTTCTTTTTCTTTCCCAGCCTTTTCTGCTGTTGGATTTCAGTCTCACGCCCTGCATCCTAATCGAGATACTTTGAATGTTTTCTCTGTTTTGGTGCATGTAGCCAGCCCATGCTGTCAGCACCCAGCACAGTCACCTCCCATACACACAGGGAGAGAATACCAAACTATTTGTAACACATGCTTTGAATGTAAAACTGGGAACCAAAGGCACAAGGGTGCCTCAAGCATGCTAACAGACTGTCGAAAAGAATAGCCCACTATCTTTTTTGCTGGGAGGGAAAAGAGTACGTTCTTTCTGACAGTATCGCGGGGAATCTACTGATTATTGAAGATGTGTTTTTAGTGAATAAGCTTAAAATAGACAGTCTTTTGGAGACATGCAAATCGTAAATTACAACGGTTGCTGTAATTTTATGACCTTGTCTCCCCAGGGTACTTTGGGAGAGACTGTGTTGATGTATGTAACTTGAACCCATGTGAGCATGTCTCCACGTGCGTGCACAAACCTAGCTCATCCCATGGCTACACCTGTGAATGTGGACAAAGCTACTATGGACAGTACTGCGAGAGCAAGTAAGAGAATTATTTTTGTTCTTGGTTTCCTGACCCTTCCAGGTACCTCTTTTCCTAAGGCAGCAGTCCTCCCACGTCCTTTTCTTCTTCGGTTAGCTTTCCTGGTACAATTTGAGTGTTCGTAGTAGATGGTATTTGCAGGCTCTGTGCCCTTTGGCACTCGTGAGCTCTCTTCCCAGACACCAGGCAAACTTCCATATGCTCAGGAGCCACTTTTCTTCTGCAGCAGCTTAGGTGCTTGACCGATTATGCTGTGTTATACAGCACTGCATCTGACCCGTACCTTGTGGTGGGCTTGGCCTGAGTTTGACTGGCGTCTCTCCTTCAGCTCCCCCAGCACACGCACAGAGCAATGCACCCGGTTAGGTGGCCTGTGGCCAGATAAAATGGCTTTGCAGTTTGGGTCCAGTCCCTGGGCTGGCAAAAAGCCATCTCTTCTGGACAGTCTGGGAGGCCTATGTCCTGTTACTGTGAGGGAGAAAAGTGCCGATTCCCTCATCAGCGGCTTACTGGTCTCAGATAAGCGTTCAGCAACCGGCCTTATCCCAGAGGCGGCACTTTGATTTACTGTAATATGGGCCATTCATGATCTGCAAATGAAGTGCATTTGTCTGCCCGTTTAGGAATAGCTCATGTGATGTTTCCTTCCCTTTGAAAACCACAAGCTTCTTCCTCTGCCTTTTGTTGTGTGGGCTTGCAAATGTTGGCTGTGCTGTTGCCAGATTCACCTTTAGTTCCTCTGGATTAGCAACACAGAGACATTTTCCCTTGTCGTTGTCTGCTGACATCATGTCGGGTGCAACATTGTGTTTTTTCACATAATGAAGCATGGAAGTATAAACCTGGCAGTTACTGTTAACAAAATTTGGCATGGTCTGTGAAACAGACAGCAAACAACTTTTCTCTCCTAAAGTGAGCAGCGGGGAGGGATTCCTTGTGCGTTGTGCTGACCACAGACTCAGCAGTGTCATCCTTCAGGCTATCGCTTGATGAAGACTTCCAGCTAGCAGAGACCCTGGTTGCTGCCCCAGCCCCTTCCCAGAGCTCTCCTTGCCAGCACTAGTGTTGGGGCATCTGTGGAACCAACCTGCTCAGAAGTTCACCCAGCAGAAAAAGAACCTGTGAAAACAAGGGTTGTTCTTCAGCAGGGGTAGCTTTTGGGTTGACACACAGCGTCTGGCTAGCTGTACTGCTCCATTTATAGTCTGAATCAAAGCTGTCACCCTTCCCCCTTCTGTGTCACCAACCACATGTGTCCTCCTCCTCCTCCCTTGTGTCAGACCAGGGCTTTTCAGACCCTGTGGTGAACTGGCTCAGAAATCCAGGCTGGCTGAAAGTAGGGACTTTTCTGCATAGGGTGAGCTTGCAGCCAGCGTTGCACCTGAGATGGTGTCCCCGCAGGCTGGACAAGCACTGCTGCCCACAGCAGGGCTGGGACAGGAACCCGTGGGGGTGGGAGGTGGATACAGAGTGTTGGGGAGCTGTACCCCAAGTCTGTTTGTGGCAGTAGGTAAACCAGGGCACGGGCTCAGCACCACCTGCAGTTGCTGGAGCACAGCCCGGCACAGGGTCTCCAGCCTGCCCTCACCAGTGCTTTCCCCAGCGTGGGGCTGGGGCTGGAGGGACCGCGACCATTCCAACTAGGCAGCGTGGGCCTCATTGCCCTCTCCTAGAGGAAGGAGCACTTCATTTGCTCATGTAGATGTATACTCCTTATAAAGAGGAGCTGGTCTTGAAAACATTTGTAGAAGCATTACCACCAGGGTTTTGTGGCACTGATATTCTTTATCTTTTTTGATCACATTATGTATATGCCAGAGAAGTTATATAATTCTATATGTGTTTATATATATATATTGAGTCTTGTCTGCTGCAGTGAGATACAATCCACTCTATAAGCTAATGGAGTCGAGTGCAGATTTGGCCCAAAGCTCATTTTTTTTCCCAGCTTTTAAGAGGAAGCTTAAAAGAACTTCATTTCATTGTGATTTTCTTTTATAGAATTGACCTGCCTTGTCCCAGAGGCTGGTGGGGAAATCCCATCTGTGGTCCTTGTAATTGTGAGACTAGCAAAGGGTTTGATTCTGATTGCAACAAGACCAATGGAGAATGCCACTGCAAGGTAAGCAAGAGAAACCTGTCTTAAGTCAAAATTTCTTCAGTTTAAAAAGTAACTATAGCACTAATAACTACAAGAAGTGAGCATCTGGGAAAAAGTACACACAGTTGTGGTTTGTATCATATATATGTGCGCAGTGTCGTTAATCTTTGCCTAAAACATTTTGCTGGCACCGCCCTTCACAAAATCTTACTGTACAGCTCTTATCTTATTTGTGTTTGAAAAGCAAAACTGAGAGGATGAAAGCCTGGCTCTGATCTCTCTGAAGTGCAGCCTGGCTTATCGGGGGAGATCAGACCTGGGTGCGGAGGAGTGCCAGTGGTGTTCTGTGTATCACAAGTGAGTAACAGCCATGAAAGCTTCGGCCAGCTGGGAGCAGCTCTCCCCTCTGCAATGGGCCAGCAAAAGGCCCAGCAGCTGGAGGGAGGTGAATAATACGAGAGGCTGAACACTTTCCTCAGTGCCAGCTCTGTCGAGTTGAAGAGGAATTTGCTGTGGACAGGCAGGGACAGACGGGGACGCGGGAGGCTCCCTCCTGAAGGTTTGACAAAGGACTTTTCACAATAGGTTTTACAATAGCCTTGAGTAACAGAGGAGCTGTGCCTGTGCAGACCAGAGCTAGCAAATCTGGCCCCGTTCTCCTCTCCTAAATGCCAGCAGGACACACAGCAGCTCTTGCGTTAAACAGTCAGTGGGGTGCCAGTGCCAGGCGCTTGTGTAATCGCGTGACGCCGCAGATCAAAAGCATTGACAGACGCGATCTGAATACGTGGTCGTTGGTTGCTCTCCTCCCTGTACATGAAACAAATGGACAGTGCAAGAAGCTTCGTCTCTGGCTTGTTCATGCTGTACAGGAGTGGAATTGCAAAGCAGAGAAAACTGCAGATCCTCCCAGAATACATTTGCTGGTCACCAACAGCAAGTACACGAGGAGCAATGTGGTCCTTCTGCCCCTCTGCAATCGGTGGTCTGAACCGTGGGTCTCTGTGGCGTGGGGCAGTGCAGCCACCCCCCCGGCGCTCAGCTCTGCCTCTCTGCCTTGCCAGGGCTTGCACAGCACACTTCCCATAGCTATTACATTGTCTGTTAACAGTGATATCATTATTATCCCATGCTTTGCAAAATTAGCCCTTTTGTGATGCACTTGCTGCTAGAGCAGGATTTTGGAAATGCGAGTAATGTGGAATAGAAGTCAAGCACCACATGTCTGTTGTTTTGGTTTTTCTAGGCAAATTACTACAGGCCCCAGAGCAGCGACACCTGCTACCCCTGCGACTGCTTCCCGTCCGGCTCCCACACGCGCGCCTGCGACGTGGAGACGGGCCAGTGTCCTTGCAAACCCGGCGTCGGTGGCCCCCCAGCCGCATCCTGGGGCGTGTGGGAGCCCGGCGGCGTGGCCCCAGCAGTGGCAACGGGAGCTGCGGCAGCCTAGACCTGCACCCCTCCTCCCAAGGCTATGCCAGTGTGCCTCGTGGCGGCTGGGGAAAAAGGAAAAAGCTCCTACTTCTTTGATTTTCTTTGGATGGAAATGTGGCTAGCTTAGGGGGGAAAGCTGTGCTGCAGCTGAAGAGATGGGCGAGAGCCCTCACACCTTCTGCCCGCAGAGTCTGTGCCGTGCGCCCGGTGCCATCCGCCTCCCTTCCCCATCTCGCCCATCCTGCCATTCCTCTCACCCACCCACCCTCCTCCTGTGAGCAGCACAAAGCTGCTGCAGCAGCCGCCTCGCCTCGGTGTGTGGGTGAAATGAAGGAGAAACGTTTTCCCACAATAAAGGAGCAGGCAGAGATAGGCAGAGCCAGAATCCAAAGCCCCATAATCATCCTGAGCTCTCCTCTGCCTGTACCTGTCTGCCCGCGCTGCTGGCTGAGCAGCAGCTGATGGGTTGCAGCTTGGAAGGCGCTGCAGAGGGCAGGTATCCTGACGGGGCTTGGCAGTTACCGGAAGGTGCTTTAGGCAGGTTGAAATATCTCCTTGTAGTGATTTTTAATCTTGTCAGAAAAAATTGCATCCTTTCTTTTTCTGCTTTCAGTGATTTATAATGGCTGTCCAAAAGCTTTCGAGGCTGGTATTTGGTGGCCACAGACCAAGTTTGGCCAGCCAGCTGCTGTGCCCTGTCCTAAGGGATCAGTGGGTAAGTTCCCTGGGTAAAACATTAACTACTTTATCTAAGTGCCTGTCTGAGGGGAAAAAAAAAGAGAAAAAAATGCGTACATAGGGAATGACATTAGTTCGTTGGGTCTAGAGATTACAGCACAGCTCATGCTTATCACAAGCAGAGAAGTTTAGCTAGCTGAAACTCAAGAATTGTTAAAATACATTTGGAATTGTAGCAATAAAGTAGTACAAAAGTGCAGGAGATAAATACATGTAAAGAACAGAAATTCTGTGTCTGTATTTTCAAAAAAGCACAGTCCCATTTTCTATTTTCTGGTTAGCAAGCGATTCTTACACATGTAACTTTTAGTTTCTAGTGACTTGTACATGTTCTTTAATGGTACAGCTCCTCTGGGCAAAGACAGATGAGGAAAATCATTTATGTGATGATTGCTTTACTAGCATTGCAGGCTAGTAAAGCTAAGAGTTAGAACAGAACTTGCATTTTTCTACCCAACATCTTTTCTCTAACTCTAAAGTCAGATGGCTGAAAAATGCATTTTATAAAAGACATGAGCTGTTTTGTACAGCAAGCAAATGACAAGCTGCTTTTTCACGTGTGTCCCTGAAAACATTTATCAGATTTTTGAAAACAGAATTCACAGTCTTTTCCAAAGGCTGTTCTGTGGGAAATTAAAGCTCTGTCTCGTTCCTGGGCCTGGTAACTCTGCTGCGAGCAGTCCTCAGGCTCAGTGAGTTACAAATGGTTCTGTGACTTCCCCAGATATTACTGGGGGGAGGCCACTGCCCGTAAGTGTGCAGCAGATTTGTGATCGACCAAGCTCCTGTTCTGAGGATTTTAGGAGATAGAATTGGTTATTATTTTTTTTTGAGTGAAGAATATTTACATTATTAAACAGTGTAAAGTTGAATTACAGTAAGTTTTCTGCACTGTTTTAGTGGTTGACCCCAGTGTCTCTTCTAGCAAATAGGCTAGCAGGCAGGAGTAGTTATGGGAAATGCATGTTTTAAGTGAATTTCACAGACCATTCAAAAAAGTAAGCTTTATAATAATGAATGTTCAGACTAAGAATCTGAGGTTTAATTGTATTCAGCTAATCATGGAAGAGAAATAATATAATTAGATATTGTTCAATTCATTATAATTTTTGTTTAAATATGAGTAATTAAATGGCCTAGACACATGCAATATGTTATGTGCAAATTAACTAGCATAATGTAAATTCTAAGTTTGATTGCTTGCAATTCACTGTGAAGGATCCACAGCCGAGAGTCACATTTTAAAATGATTTGACAAATAGTACAAAATCATAGGCTAAATTAAACAATAAGCTGCTCATAGACCATCCACAAGTGGCAAAAGGCAATTACATGTGTTGGCTGAAGCGTTTACTGTGTGCAGTGTGCAAAGGTGCTAGCGTGTTTTGACAGGAAGACAGCGTTTATCCGGGACGTCTTCACATGTAGGCTGTTGCACAGAAATCTGAGCAGGGACACGTTTTCAGAAATATTTAGGAAGTGCACAGTCTTTCTCATATTTGGCATAAATAAATTGCTGAATTAATTTGAAAATGTTAGGGCAGCAAGGCAGAGAGGGGTTGGGCAGATCTTGAAGTTTGCCTGACTTTTCTCGAAAGCCTGAGGAAAACGATTCATGAAGATTAGTAGTCTTTAACTTTTCTCAGACAGGAATCCCAGGTTTGGAAAGTGGAATATGTGCATAGATCTAAGAAACTTGAAAATGTAGGAAATCTGAAAGTCTAAGATACCTGAAATCTATGAAGATTTACGCAGCACAGTTCAGAATGTTATCTGTCATTAACACTTTGCTTCCTTCAGGAAATGCAGTTCGCCATTGTAGCATTGAAAAGGGCTGGCTGCCTCCTGAGCTTTTCAACTGCACCACCAACACTTTTGTGGATCTAAAAATCGTGGTAAGCTCTGTTTTCTCATTTTTGCCTTTATTTTCTAAATGATCATCAGTTCCGACTCCAGTGTGATGTCCCTGCACTCCATGTTTTGACTGAGTCCTTGAACCCCCTCATTTCACATTAGGACCCTTGTGCTTTTCTGGCTCTCGGTTATATTTTCTGTTGAGTTGTCCTGTCAGCCCTTTCTCAAGACAAACACCATTTTGATCAAACAACTCCTTCGTGCCTAAAATCCCTAAATGATTATTATCTTTGTAACTAAAATGAAGTACAAAAAATACATAAGATACACCATTGGGTTTCTTCTTCCTTTTTGTCCCTGATTCAGAATGAGAAGTTACACCACAATGAGACCAAGCTGGACGGAGACAAAACCATACGGATCGTGAGAGTGCTGCAGAATGCCACCAAATACACACACAGCTTGTATGGCAATGACGTGAGGACAGCTTACCAGGTGATGATCCGGGTCCTCCAATATGAGAGCCAGCAGCAAGGGTTTGACTTGGCAGCCACGAGGGACGTGGAATTCAATGAGGTAAGAGAGATACTGTATACTGTGCTGAGCCTTTACAGTTCCCCATATAAGTGTTATGGGCAATGCATAATTAAATTTGTCTTTGACCAAGGTGGAGCGAAAATCATGGAATTGCTTCATCTGTCTCACAAATGGGTCAATCATCTCAATTTAGTGCGGGAAGATGGCTATGCATGTGTGTATGCACACATATGTGTGTGTAATACAAATGTCATAGAAAGTGCTGTTATAATAAATATCGTCATAGTAACAACCAAAAGCAAAATTCCCCAAGTGAAAAAAATAATCAAGTTGATATGTTATTTCTGGCTAAAATAGCTTTGTGTACCATATTGAATTTTGTTGGAAACCCTGCCTAATGTGATCATTTTCATTTACATTTGCAGTGAGATAACTGAGCCATTTACTGACTCTGAAAGTTTCTTATAATTCAGTTTGAAAACACTTGAGTCATGTTTATTAAAGAGCTGGTACACTAAAAGACGTTCTATACCGTGTTGATATTTTAAGTGATGCAGGCACGTACAAAAATGCGTGCCAGAGGGCTTCCGCGAGTCAGAGCATTTATGAAAGACCCAGTTATTAGCAAAGGCCTGACCAAGTCTAGAGGACAAGGTGTAGCACCCTCTCTGTCTAGGGGAAACATGTAGCTGTGGTGGAAAAATGTGAGATGTGGAGGAAGTTGGGAGTTTTCTGTGATCTGAAAATGTAAAGGTTGGGTGACTCACGTCAGGCTCGTAGAGCTATCTTCTTTGCCGTGTGTGCTACGGGGTACTGCTGTCCGCACTTGCCGATACTATTTCAAAGATCCTGAACATGGTACAGCACAGAGTCCAAGCTAAAACATCCTTCTGGACCTGTGCTAGCAGAGCCTGGAGCTCAGGCACCAGCACAGCAATGTTGGAAACTCTCCATGGGCCGAGACTCGCCTCTGTGCTGGCCAGAGGTGGTCTGGCTCCCTTTGAAGTTGTGCTACACCCAGCTCACGGCTCACAGTACTCCAGGAGGACCAGCCAGGTCAGGCAGACTTTGGGTTGAACTTGGAGACCCCGAGCAAGGCCAAGTTGCAGAAGGAGAGAACCTGTCCCTGGGGAGGTGGGAGCAGGAGGAGATGTGGCTGAGAAAATTCCTCAGTGTCTTGGGCTGTACAGTCAACAGAGAGGGGAGACCTTCTGAAACATTAAACATTTTAGATGCATCAGATTTTAAGAAGTTCATTTTTTCCTTTCTTGAGGAGACACTGTGCTGGCAAACTTAGATCTGCAGGCTGTGGAGTTAATGAATTCCTCCATTCAGATCTTGGGAAGGAACTTTGTTTTTAGCATGTTTTCTTAAGTAGAAATAAGAACAATAAAGGAAAAAAAATGGTTTGGAAACCTCTGCACTTGGCACTGAAACTCATACAGATGATGTTTCGAAGAACTCCCTAAATATTTTTAGGATAGGTCAGGAATTTGAAAACTAACCAGTAAAGCTCATGAGAAACAGGGGTAACATCATAGGCTGAGGGAGCATAAGGGGAGAAGGAAATTTTTTTTTTTAATAGTCTCAGGTAGAAGCCTGGAAAATAGATTAAAAACCAAAACATAAATAACTTTCACAAACACCAAGGAGGCCTGGTAACAAGTACAACATGTGTCTCCTGCATTCCTGGGGAACCATGTAGTGCTTCTCACCCTAGATAAAGGTGCTCATGCTGGCAGCCCCTTTTATCTCCAGTACATGCTAGCAACTCAGACAATACTTAGAGAATATAGCATCTTTCCCGTCTGCTCCTAAATGAACCCTAAATATTTGCCTTGGCTGTTTTAGAGCTTAAGGTGATTAATTCCTACTATTATTTGTGCAAGTTTTACCTTAGTTAAGAATTAGGTTTTGACACAACAGTATAGTTCATATGTACACCAAGATTAAAAACTTCTTAGCACCTTTCCCATTTGAGTCATTTAGCGCTCTCTTTGGGAGTCCTCTTCCATTCAGCCCGAGGGTCCTTCTTCATATTCTTGTAAGAAAGGGCAGAAGGGGCATGTCCTCAGCTAGAACTTCTTTTTTGACACCATTCGTAAGCAACATAAAAATGGGGGGAGAACAACATGATTGAAGTTTTCTTACGTATTTTCAAGTTTGCATATTCAAGTTAATATTCACTCTTGTCTTCACCACCAACTTCCTAGTTAGCCAGGAATCAACAAAGTAAAAAAAGAAAAAAAAATCAAAATAAAAGAGAAAACAATATTGCCATCTATGGTTTTCTTCTGATTTTTAACATATCACATTATTTTGATTTCTCTGGGGGAGTTCTTCAGTGTACATACCAAGTGCTCTGCTTTTCTTGTCTTTCATCTCTCCAAGACAAAGAAAACATGGTTAGGTTTCCCTTCTGCATTTTCTTGCTAGTTTTCCTGTAATAAAGGCGAAAGAAAGCAGGCAGTTCTCTTACAGCCTCCAATTTTGTCTTACTTTGCTCATAAAAAGTTTGGAGGGATTTGCTTTATGAAAAATAAAAAAACCTCAGGGTGAGTAATTGGTGTGCATATTTTCATATGGCTTCAGTGGAACATGACTGCATTAAAATATTTCATTATACTCTCACCTGAGGCAGTAATGCCAATCATTTTTAATATTCCTCACTTGAAACCCAGCGCTTTGTTTGCTTCATAGTTTAGGCTTGTACTTTGTTTCTCAGAATATTATCAAAGTGGGCAGTGCTCTACTGGACCCCAGCAACAAGGAGCACTGGGAGCAAATTCAGCGAACGGAGGGTGGCACCGCTCACCTGCTCAGGCACTATGAGGAATATTTCAACAACGTGGCCCAGAACATGAAGAAAACCTACATGAGACCTTTTGTCATCGTTACCACTAACATGAGTGAGTATCTGTGTTGAAAACTGACATTTTGTATTAGAACTTTAAAAATGTGCTGGATGGAGGTGCTAGCTATTTGTTTTAGCAGTACCCACTGAGAAACAACGTACTTGGATTTTCTAATCTAATCAGTGCATTCATTTCAAGTCAATTGAGCCTTGATCCATATCTCTCCGTTGCCATGGGGCCCTCCTGGGAGATGTCTGATCTGTTTTCCTTCTGGGCCGTGCCACTGCTCTGTGTGGCATTTTGTTGCAGCCACATTGTTGTACAGATGGTAGGAGGGACAAAGTTTGTAAGTAAAAGTAATGCCTTTTGAGAATACCTAGTATAGTTGAACATAGTAGATCACGTTTTTGAAAGAATCACACCACCACCACCTGAAGAATTACTGCAGTACAAAAAAAATCCCTACTGTTGGTCGTATACCTCTGATTTTCACATGCCTTCATAGCCTGGAACCTACCCAGAAAATCATCTTCTGTAGAAATTCCTCTGCTGAAAGGTATTTTACTCAGAATCACCTATCCAAGCCTTCAGACACCCTCCCAGCCTTGAAAAACCCATCACAGAATCACAGAATGGTAGGAATTGGGAGGGACCTCTGGGAATCATCTGGTCCAACCCCCCTGCCACCAGGGTCACCTAGACCAGGCTGCACAGGACTGCGTCCGGGCAGGTTTGGACTATCTCCAGAGAAGGAGACTCCACAACCCCACTGGCCAGCCTGTTCCAGTGCTCTGTCACTCTCAAAGAAGTTCTTCCTCATGTTCAGATGGAATTTCCTATGCTTCAGTTTGTGTCTGTTGCCCCTTGTCCTGTCACTGGGCACCACTGAAAAGAGTCTGGCCCCATCCTCCTGACACCCACCCTTAAGATATTTATAAGCATTTCAGCCTTCTCTCCTTCAGGCTAAACAAGCCCAGCTCCCTCAGCCTTCCCTCGTGGGAGAGATGCTCCAGTCTCCCCATCATCCTCGTAGCCCTCCTCTAGACTCTCTCCAGTAGTTCCGCATCTTTCTTGAAGTGGGGAGCTCAGAACTGGACACAGTACTCCAGATGGGGCCTCTCTAGGGCGGAGTAGAGGGGGAGGAGAACCATCATCAGAGCAAAGTCCTTGGGGTCCAAAATATGCAGAGTGGGTCTAAGCTCAGAAGGAAACATCAGATGTACCAAGACACCTTCCCGACCTATCACAGTAATTGTCGCCTCTGACAAGCAGATAGCAGCTCCTGCACTTGCAGGACTGTGATGGACTTCACAGGTGTCCCCGCGGTACATGGACAAGTGAAGCACAGCAACCACAGCCTGGTCAACCTCTTTCCCCGTTTTCTCCCCAGGTACCAACAGTCTGAGCTGATCGGATGTTGGTGATAGTCCTGCTCTGAGTGGGAGCTGAGACTGAGTCAGGTGACCTTCAGAGGTCCCTCCCGAGCAGCATTGCTATCTGTTTTTTCTTTCAGAGCTGGTCTAAATTATTATCAGCCTAAACTTGTATTTAGCTTTTCAAGCTGCTGCTTTTATTTCAGACCTGGAGAAGGACTTATGTGCCCAAAAGCTTGTCTTATTTTCCCAACTACACCCATTGGTATTAAGAAGTGAATTTACCTTTGCCTACAAACCTTGTCCTGAGCATGCTTCATGTCCACAGGCACAGGGGCATAAAAAGGCATGAGACAGTCAAGCTACAAAGTTTATAAAGTCCTGCATCACCTGAAGGGGGGAGGGATTATTTTTGAACTAAGTGAAACTGGAATACTTTGATTTCTGTTCAATAAACTAAAAATGAAATATTTCCTTTTGATTCAGGACTATCAGAATCCAAATATCTTTATTTTCACACTCAGAAATAAGTATGCTCAGTATTTTAACTGAACTGAACTGAGATGAAAACAAAACCCAGAATTTCTTGCAGGTTGTAAATCCTGATTTTTTCAGCCAGCTCTTCTTGAGTAAAAAGGTATGAGCTTGGGAGGGATGAAGCAACTCTGGCCTGAAAGGGGTCTGTTTTCTTTTGAACAGTTTTTCCAGGTGAACACGGTGTTAATGGAGTTTCCTAATGGCCCATCTGGGAGTTATGTAGAGACTAGGAAAGGAATGGGAGTTTGCAGATCTTAACTTGGATATACCTTCATAGAGAAATTCGCAGTGGATCACAGCTTTCCGTGTAGGATTGCCCCCAGGACTTCCAGCTTCTCACTTTTATTAGAACATCTAAACTGGCACTCAGTGACTGCTCTTAAATGGGAAAGTTCGAGCCAGCTCAGCTGCTTTTAAATATTTTGGCAGTTAGACAGCAGGCAGAGCTGGTGAGGTGAGCCAGAGAGGAACTGTTAATGTAGAGAAGGCACTGGAGGACTAAGGAGTAGTCCCAGGTAAAATCTGGGTTATTTTCTTTGCTTAGCTGACTTTGCAATTTAACAGATGTAGCAAAAGTGTGTTTCTGAAGCAGCAGATTTAGCCTTTCCTACAAGAAGCAAGTCTGAAATCAGAACATGCCACTTCTATATTTCCAATGTTTGCAGTAGTGTTTCCTAGTATGAGGTACTGTCTAGTGAATTCCTTTCCACTGCAAAATAAATTTATAACTTGATAAATGTAACATAAGGGTGACACGTAATCTTTTAGTTGTCGTGTAAGGTATTATTTGAAGACATTAAATTTAACTGTGTATTTTGGGGTTTAAATGTCTTCTTGGCGTTGTGCGGATATTTTAACCTTTCAATCATGTTTCATTTTGTCACAATATCAAATTTGAAAGCTTTGAAGTTAATTTTATGAGAAACTTTTTTCCCCGCAGTTATTGCTGTTGACATCTTTGACAAGTCCAATTTCACGGGAGCTAGAATACCACGATTTCACGAGATTAAAGAAGATTATCCAAAAGACCTGGAGTCATCTGTTGTCTTCCCTGATACTTTATTCAGACCTTCAGACAGGAAAGGTAAAACCCTTCTGCTACTGTTTGGAGGGAAATTTTGACTAGCTCCCAAGGAGCGTGATTAATCCTTGTGGAGCAGAGTGGTACTAGGGTGAGAGCGGGACAGCCATCTATAAAAGCCAATGTTATTTAGGGATGGAGCAGCTGTGCATACTTCTGAGGCATTTTGCCTGCTGGCAGCGATGAGAAACATGGGGGGGGCTGCGTAACTGGCTGTACCTGTCTGTCAGGTCTCGCTCAGGGCCCCTCGAACCACCCTGTCAATGCGGGAGAAATGCTCTGCCTCTGTTTGGGATGGGATGGGATGGGATGGGATGGGATGGGATGGGATGGGATGGCCGCCCGGAGCCTGCAGCCCCACAGCCACCTTTCCCTGGTCCCTGCAGAGATGTTGGGAGACGGTGTGAGAGATGGAGAGTCCAAATCTGGGAACAGAGCCACATTGTCAGAACCTGACAGCAAATAAAAAGTCTTGAGCTGTGCAGGGAGGTGGGTGATGAGGGAAAACACATGGGGAAGTACCTGCTTCCCAGTGTCTCTGAAGTACCTGGAGATGGCTGAGAGGAACCACGAGTTACCTCAGGCAAAGGAAGAGAGAGAGGATAACCCAAAGTGCAATGGCTGAATATCCTCCAAGTGGGGAAATAGTAACACTTGTGAAAATAACACATAATAATGAATAAGCTAATACATCTTTATGACTTTTTCCTCAGAAACGGGGCATCTGCTTGTATGACTTGTATTTTTTCTGTAAGGAAAAAGGGGATGTGAATTTTAAGAGATACTGCCAAAACTGAAAACTCATTATATGAGAATTAGCGGGGAGAAAACCCGTGTGACCAATTGTTCTATTTATAACACTAGCTTTGCCGTATATGAAGGTACATGCAATTTAATAGCATGTGTTTTGTTTTAGCATTTCCCTTAAATCATGCACAGAGTATTTATATACTTATGGATCTTCTAACTTACAAATGGCTTATTTTCTAGCTAGACTAAATAGTTATTCGTGGTTCAATGGTTATTTAATTATCAGCTATATAACTATGAAATGTGCTAAAATTTTATTTAAAATATCAAATAAAACATTAGGAGCATGCTCAGTGCTGTAAGCCTAGAGTTATAACAAGAGTAACACCTCTGTATCTGTGCGAAGCAAAATTACCAGTTTAAATGGTAGCTCCGAAGTTGTGTGGAAGGAATTCAATATTTGTGTTAATTCCATAGCAGTGCCTACAATGAAGCCTTCAAATCAAAAGTTGTCCTCCAAGGTGAACAGTGATGCGCTAAGCCCTGAGAATGCATTCACAAAGAGAAAGAAGCGACACCCAGATGACTCAACGCATCATACTGTTGCCATGGTCATTATATACCGATCCCTGGGACACCTCCTGCCTGAAAACTATGATCCTGACCGAAGGAGCTTGAGGTAAACTTCAAACCTGTTTGTGAATTGTGCAGCCCCCTTGTTCCACTTGCTCTGAGGGTGCGGGGGAGGCGGAGCTGCTTTTGTGGTGACCAGATGTCATCTGTGCTGCAGTTGTCACCGTCCTGCTGCCTCTTGTCCTCCTCTGGCACACTGTGGGAGCGCAACCACATCAGTAGTGCCAGCAGCTTTTGGAAACACAGCTGTGTGGAAAGCTCATTGTGCATCTGCTTCACTTTCTGAGTGGAAGTGACTGGAAATCTGTTATTTACAGAACCTACTAAATCAGTGCTTTGCATTTTAACTTTTAGATCATTTTGCATTTTTTCTTCTTCTGCAGATTGCCAAATCGCCCAATTATTAACACACCTGTAGTGAGCACAGCCATTCACAGTGACAGGGAGCTTCCTCCCAACCTGGTGGAAAAGCCCATCATAGTGGAGTATGCCATGCTGGAAACGGAGGAGAGAACAAAGCCTGTCTGTGTCTTCTGGAATCACTCCATCACGTACGTCTCCTACTTGCTTTAGGGCTGTGCGTGACAACTGTGTCGGTAACAGAGAGTTGTGCCCAGGAAGGTGATTCTGGAGGAAAACCCTTTTTCTTCAGTTTATTCAACTGGCAGCTGATTTTTGGTGGAATAGAGCCATGTAGTCATCTCCCACCAACCTGAGAAAAGTGAAAATAATCATCATAACCCTTCAAACAAAGGATTAGCCACGTGGTTTCTAATGAAAGCAGTGCCATCATGTCTTTCTGCAGGGTTCATTTTCACCCAGCAGTAGTAAATCTCACAATTTCCTTGTATTTGCTCATGCCTTATCTGGACAGGTATGGTCCGACTCCAGTGCCTGAATTCATGGCTTGTCTGAGGTCCCTAAGTCAGGACTCTCATTGCCCCATGCCCTCTTTTTAGGAGGGCATCTCCAGGAGATGATTCAGTTCTTACATGGGTGGTATCTTCTCCTGTTACACTCCATTGACTATGGACAGAGTGCATGGCAAGCAGGCACCCACCCTTGATACCTCAGCCAGAGCCTGTGCAAATAATTACAAAACCAAGTCTTCATGTTGGTAAAAAGGAGGACTGAGGTTTTGCAGATATAATTATATGAGTAAAGATTATAAATTTTTGAATCTCAAGTATTTGAATCAAAAGCCAACCCAAAGACAGCTGCACTGATAAGAAGCAACTTACCTTTCATTCCATCAGCTATTGTGGATTTGCTTTCATTTGTTTTAGTGGGAAATTGGAGGGAGGGAAAATACCTTCTTTAGGACCTTAGACCTCCAGCTGTTAGGAAGCAGTCATAATGCATAAGCAGAACTTAAGGAGAAAGTATTTGACTCTCTAGGAGGAGTGTGAGGGAAAAGATTAAATATTGTGAAAATGGCTCATTTAGGTATTTTTTGTTCAGTAAAGTTAAAGATACAGACATATTTTTCTTGAAAATGTGAAAAATGTTAAGAACTGTATACGGTCATAAGTTGGGTTTATGACGTTGCGGAGACAGCACAGTCCTGTTGGAGATATTTCGTGAGTGTGGATAAAACAAAAGACAGTGTGCGGAGAGGTAGCTACAGGCTCTGCATGTTCTGGTTTCACAATATTGTAACTATTACAGATATAATGCAATTTTCAACCATCAAGCCAGGTACAGTGAGAAGATGGTATTGTTTGCCCAGGGTAAGAGAAATAGCTGTTGCTCATTCCGTGATGATCCAAACACTCTAGTAAACCTATGGGAAAATCCATTAAAAGGCAATATCCTATGCTGGAAATAAAAGAGCAAACTAACCTAGGAAATGTTTGCCTCCTAGTCAAAAGTTTCAGGAGATTATGTTGTTGAAAGGATCGAAGAGGCAACAGAAATCTCTTATGTTAGCAATAATAAACCCCTCTATTTGCCTGCAAGTGAAGTAGTGTAATTGCTGCTATGTGCAGGTGATTCTGCCAACTATGAGGGAATGGCAAGTCCTTTTTCATAAATTTTTAAACATTGTAGGGGCTTGAATAACTCATTAGCTCTAAAGTGATTCATCTATTAGCTATTCGCTGGCAGCTTCAGTGGCATTGTTGTCTGTGTTACATTCTCCTACAGCCCGCGTTAAAAGGCAGCTCTTAAATTGCACGTAATGAAAGAGTTCTTAAAAAGTGAGTACTTTTCAAGAGAAAGTGATATTAAAAGTGTTTGACAAATATTTTATTGCTGAATGAAAAAGATGTCCTGTCATATCTAATTAAAAACTCTTTCAGTAACTACAAGACTATTTTCATTACTCATTAACTGCAGAATAGACTAGTTAATATTGATACAAAATAATTTCTGAAGTCACTGGAGTTAACCAAGGCTGCACAAGGAAGAATTTTTAAGGAAGCAGTTCCTCCCCATTGTTAATACAAGAGATCTCCTGATATGAAATATTACATACTGGCTTTAACCTTTTCTTGTGTACTTTTCAGAGGAATACTATAACAAAATCATATTACTGCTGAAACGTATTTCACATAAGAGCTCTACAAGCAGTGTCTAGATTTAGGGAAATAGAGATGACTCAAAAGCATGTATCTCTCTGTGGTTGTGATATCTTTTACCTTTGTTACAGCCAGTTTGCTCTGTGCAGTCACTTCCCCATATTGCTTGTGTGGTCACTGACCCAACAGCAATTTTTTCATTTTTTTTTTTAAACTCAAAACATCTGTTGTTAAACCGCAAAATTGGGCCAGCAAAGCCAGCTGTCATATCAGAAACTGCTACAGCTGGTGGCTTTTAAAGTTGATGATATTCTTTCACGCAGGTGACACCTATAAATATTTCTGTCTCGGTACTTATAGTCCTCTGTTGTTGCGGAGCAAGAGCTGCCCTGGAAAGCAATAGCAACAGGAGGTGAGGGGAGATCAGAGGACGGCTCTCAGAAATGCCTTTTTTCCCTGCAGGATTGGTGGGACAGGTGCCTGGTCCTCCAGAGGATGTGAGTTGTTTTCCAGAAACCAGAGCCACATTGCTTGCCAGTGCAACCATATAACCAGCTTTGCTGTCCTGATGGACATTTCAAAACGAGAGGTGGGTGATGCCAGACTCAGGATTTTGGAGGGCTTTGGTTTTCAAGATCTTTCACTGAGAGCTTGAGCTTGAGCTTTGAATGTGACTCAGAGCATCGTCAGCGGATCGGTCCTGTGTTGCAGTGTCTCAGGAGCTCGTTGCCCTGTGCCTGACAGCACCCGCCGTTGGGTCTGCTGAAAGGAGCTTCTTACCTGAGCGGCGCACGGTGTAGCGAGACTGTGCTGCAGAGCCCTGCAGAGGAGAGAGTGAGACATGGGTTACAGACGCGTGGTAGTAGTGGCATCACTTGATATTAAGTCCGTCTAGAATTACAATAGCAGGGACAATGACATAAGCACCATAGGTTTCTCAGCATCTTGGGATAGCCTCAACAGGGGCAGTCCAGCTTCAAATTCACCGGGTTTCTTCCCTAGCTATCTGCTTCCTCCAGTGTTGTCCGTACACATTCAACATGTTGAGTGACTTAAGAGGTGTGGCATTGTCCACTCCTGTTGGTCCTGAAGCAAATCTGTACTTTGGCTCAGTAGTAATGAAAACATTGACTTTCCGAGTAGTAGGTTCAATTGGAGGAAAAGGAATGAAAAATTCTCAGAGGTCCTGTCAATTGGTCTTTCTACAGAATGGGGAGGTGCTTCCTCTGAAGATCGTCACTTACACAACCGTATCCATCTCGTTGGTGGCTTTGCTTTTCACCTTCATCCTGCTGGTCCTGATCCGCACGCTGCGTTCCAACTTGCACAGTATCCACAAAAACCTGGTGGCTGCCCTTTTCTTCTCTGAGCTTGTCTTTCTTATTGGAATCAACCAGACTGAAAACCCGGTAAGAGTTACTCTGTGCTTATTGCTAGAGTTGTTGTCAAGCTTTAGACCAGGAGGTTCATGCTGCGACTTTTACCTGCTCCCATCTGTTTCACTTTCTCTTCTTTTTTGCTCCTGCTCGGCCTCAACAGTCATTTGAAAAACGTCAGACTTTAAATATGTTCTTGTGTGGTTTGCATGATTAATAGCAGTGCCAGGAGATAGGAATATGTATTCTTTTCAGAGAACAAATGACAGCAGCCCTGTTGAAGGCTTATCCCATGAACTGAACCCTGAATACTAATTTCTTCCTTCCTTTCCATTAGTATGTTTCCTGTCTTGCTTTGTTCAGTAGGAGGCTCTTCAGTTTCACCTGCAGCAGGTACCTCACAAGCCCAAACAGCTCCTGGTGTTGACTGGTAGGTTGTCAACTATGCGTTGCTTTGCAGGTGCTAATACGTATGCATTCTGGAGAAGTCACTTGCCAGGCATGGGACAGCTTGCTACATCCAAGAATCAGTAGGAAGCCTGTCGCTTTGCTTTGTGCCTTCCAGCCACAGTGGCTGCTGGCTTCAGCCCATCATATCCAGCATTGTGCACATCAAGAAACACAAGCTATGAATGGACTGAATGTGAGATATATGCCACACATGAACTGTGTATGTTCTGTACCTAGGACCTCATTGCTATCTTAACTATGTAGCATTATATGTAGTATTGCTGCTCGTTGTTAGTACCCGTCTCAAAAGTCATGGTTACCATGCAGTCAGGAAGGAGACGAGGCAAGGGTTCCAGCACTGCCAAGCTTCACAGTCGCTTTTACCAGTCAGTAGACAGATGGGGGGATGACATGCAATAAAAAGTATGTCCTTAGCAGACATTTCGAAACTTTAGTATAGGGATTATCTGAACACTCTGAAGAAAATCTGTATTCTAGAAATCCCTTACTGTACATGTTTCAATATTAATTTTGAGAGGGAAGTACGATCTTGAGATGAAAACACATGAAAAGAAAAAATAACTTTAATCACACTGATTCCACATTGTCCGAGCAGCAGAAATGGGAGAAAATGCCTACGTTCAATGAGTATCATCACCGTTATGGTAACGACACCATTGTGCCTGACCATGTAGCCTCACTTGCTGTATAACTTAAGCCCTGGATTCTGATACCTGTCTGAGCTATAATGTGCATTTTAGAAAGTATCTGACCTTGACTTAGAGATTTGGTGTGATGGCAGAGTCCCTTTCCTCTGTTAGAGTAAGGTGTCGTAGTGTCTCATCACAGTTAAACATGCTGTCAGATTTTGTTGAATTTCAACTTCCAGTAACTGGGTGCTGTCAAGACTTTTCCTAGTAAATTTGAGAGACCTCTCTCATAAAATATGTCTTCTCAGGAAGCCTTTGTTCAATAGTATTTCTTTTGGAAAACTAAATAAAATTAAGTTGCTTACATTCTTCAGTTTCTAAGATTCAGGTTATACTGATGCCTTTTTTCTGGGCTTTCTTCCTCCACTTTACTTTTCGGAAAACTGTGAATGCGAAACTGGACAAAGCTTTCCAGCTGGTAGTGTCGCTTCCAGTCCCATATTCCAATATTGCCCTGCACCAGGAACTCCAGTTATCTGCTGCTATGGTGAGGTCTTCTGCAGTGACCTGCCCTGTGGGATATGGTCTCACGTCATGTGTGACCTATGTTGTCTTTGTTTCATAATATACGTTTTTGCATATTAAAATAACTTCGCCTAAATGAACTCACCTTGCTAGTTGACCCGCAGCACTCCATGTACTTGACTTTTCCCATGCCTGCTTGAGCACACCACTCGTTTTTCACAGCATTTCACTACCAGGGAGTTTATACTCTTTCGGTTCTCCAACATGAATACTAAGGAGCAGGGTGCCAAGCCCACATCCCTGCAGGATCTTACCAAAAATTACACTGTAAATGATGGCTCCTTGTTTCCAAATGCTTTCATAGTATCATGAAACACCAAGCAAAGGTTTATAAGAGTAGTAAAACGGTTCATTACAGCAATACCACAAATACTCATGGTCGTACTTGGTGAGACTGTTCTTCTCTTTTGCTCCTTCTCATTTTCATGCTTTGGGGCTCATGGTGTGATCATGTCCTGTGCTGTTACCAGGACTCGATGAAACACCCCAAACCTTTAATCCACTTACAAAGATCTTTACATTAGAGACTATATTTAATACAGTGCAGAAAGCCACTCCTTACAGGCTACCCAGTCAATTTGAGAAGCTGGGAGGGCTGTAAGCCATGTCTGCTTGAGACAATTATTCATCTGTCTGTATGGAATGAGAGTTGTCTAACGAGTCATGCACTGATGAACATAAAGAGTGAAAGAATGCTGGAGCACAAATAATGCTGCGCTGCTTGGCACCCAGCCTGGCTTTTATGGGTTTCTGTAAATTAACAGTCACATTTTTGGGAGAGGTTTTAATCTTTCCCTGGACTATTGATAGAAGGTGATTTATTTTCCTTTTTTTTTTCTTACCTGAAAAAGGTAATGTTCAGGGCAGCAGTCTGCTCCTATGCATGTGCCAATAGGAACAAAAAAGCCCTGCTTACATAGAGGGAAGAAAGGTCTTTTATTTGGTGAGCTAACGTTTTCAATAACACTTGGTGTTATAATAAGGCTGATGCAGTAAGTGAATCCAGAAAGTTGGCGGTCTTTGTATGATTCCTTCACTCGACAAAGTTAAACAGGGAAACCTACGTTTCTGAGCATTATACCATGAAAAAACCACCAAAAAAACATGCCACAATCTGAAAGAAGGGTCAGTGCTGCATGAGAACAAAAGGATCCAAAACACAATGTAAAACGTTTTCAAACAAAAATTGGGTGAGTACGCAAAGTGCTTCTAATTCAGTCTTATCAACAGATCCTTGGCAAAATCCTTGGCTTTGCTTCTGAGAGGAGAAAGTTGATTGTGAGATTTCACTTCAGGTGTTGGATGCTTGTGGTCATTCCTGTTTTCACCCATCAAACCATTAAGTTGGGAGGGAAAGCTGGTTAGCAGGTATTACAGAAATGCAATTCTATGAAGGTCAGAGGTTTCAAGGTGGCCATTTGGTCACAAAGATGACTTCAGCTACGAGTTTGCACGGTGTAGCTGTTTCTCCTCGTCACATTAAGGACTCTGTCTCTTTGGTGTCAGCAGGTCTTTCATTTTTGCTGCTCTCAGCTTGGCAGGGCCTAGTGGTCCACCTTGTTCTGCTGACACAGGATAAAAAACAAATCCAGACCTGGGACTGGAAGCTCCAGATCCCCTTGTTCCCAGCCGGAGATGTGAACTAACCAGCCAGCAGTAGCTTTCTTCCTGCTTGTCCTCATGACTGCTGTGCCTGCCTGCAAGTACCCTCAAGGGGAGCGTAGAGCTGAGCATTTCTGGATCCAGCATGTCCCACAGCCTGGTGGTTAGGGCTGTTTTCTGCAGTGGACAAGAAGGGGTTAACCTCCCTGCTCAAGCCAGGTAGGGCCTACAAGCCACTCTCCCACTTTGTAGGTAAATACTCTGATTTTGACATTAGGTAAAAGGCTGATTGCACTTTTTGGATTTATCTGCAGAGTAGGTAGTCATCTACTGCTGGCTGCATCACTTTAGGCATCACGGCTAGGCATCCTCCATGACTTGTTGAAATATAGATGTGCGAGGTCTGCAGGCTTCATCAGGGAAGGCCGGAGCTGCAAGGACAAAAGAGATGGCCGCTGCCTCACCCCATGGATGCATCCATGCTTTTGCTTCTCAATTTTTTTTAAATAAGAGTCTCAGAAAAGGAGTTGTATGTGGAACAGACCTTTTCAGACCTATGACACAGTCACATAGGGGCAAAATACTCTGCTGATCTTATGCTAGATTATAAGACCAAGTTAAATTTTGCCTATTTGTGTGACAGACATTTCATTTAAGTGATGCAAAAGTTCCTCAAAGAAAGGCTGGATTTCTTTGGTTAAGGTCTATAGATCATCTGCTGCTCATGTTCAGTATGTTCACTTCTCCTGGGCTGAAGCTTCATGGATTTCTGTCCCCAGAAGTGAAGTTCTTCAGAGCAAGAAGGACTTTCTCGGGGACTGGTCCTAAACTGAAGACCAAAGATCTGTCTCACACCTCTCCTCCACCTTTGCCAAACACAAGGAGAGTTTCTTTGTACTTTTTTATCTACTAATACAGGCACAAAACATGATCTAATTTAAGACAAAACAGAACTGTACCAAAATAGCACACTTCCTTGGAGACAGATCTCTCTCTTTGCAAAGAATGAAGTAGCTGAAAAACCCATAGGATGGTCCATGGTGTGGAAATGGGAGACACCGAGTGAGTACAGGGCTGGAGGTGGCCATTCTCAGGAGCAGTTTGTTGGCTTTGCAGTGAGACTGGTTTAGCTGATGCAGCTAAACGTGCTGTGACTGAACTCGGCGTAGTGGCATTGTGCAGGCGAGACTCATACACAAGGCAGGGCCGAGGGTCTGCAGCCTCTGTAGGAGCATCCCCTCCTCCTGCTCTGCACCAGGAGGAGCCAGGAGCTCTGCCAGCCCTGTCCTTCCTGCAAGCAGAAGGAATTCAGTCAGAATAGCCAAAATCTTCACCTGTGCAGCAAATACACACAGAGAAATTAGCCACAGAACATGGAGGGCAAGGGCAGTGACTAAAAGCATGTTGGATTGATAGGGTAAAGCTGACCCAGGCTCAGAACAGGCGACATAATATAAAAATATAAAAGAAAAAATACTTTCACAATATGAACAGCTTTTATGAAACTCTGAAAAACTTAATTAATGGCAATATATTTGTTCTGCCAAAACCTTTTTATTACACTTGCCTTTAGCTGCACAGGGGAGCTCGTGACTCACCAGGCTGTGATTCAGAAGAGCAGCTCTAATTTCCCTGCCCTTTCCCTTCCGCAGTTTGTGTGCACTGTGATTGCCATCCTCCTGCATTATTTCTACATGAGCACCTTTGCCTGGATGTTCGTGGAGCAGCTCCACATCTACCGGATGCTGACTGAAGTGAGGAACATCAACTTCGGGCACATGCGGTTCTACTACGTCGTTGGCTGGGGCGTTCCTGCCATCATAACAGGTACCTTCAACCACGCCAGAACAGCTTTGATTCCCTTCCCTGCCATCTTCACTGGCCAGATTCAGGAAAGTTGCCCCATCCAAGACATCTGTGGGTGCACTCAACTACTGCTGCCGCGTCAGTCTTTTCCTTAATGAGGGCAACACCAAATCATGTCCAGCAGCAGTCAGCCTGAATTTGGTCGATTTGTGTACCAAATGTCTGTTGCCCCAGCTGAAGTGATACTGAGAGTTTTACAACAACATGAACATAGTTGTGCCTAGATTAAAATAGGACTTGATAACATTGCTTGGGAATAACAGTGTTTTTATTTTAACAACTTTGCCTGTAGCCTTCAGAAGTATTCCTTCCCTGTGCTGGTGCCTCAGGATATGGACACACGGTCTCTCGGGGAGGCAGCTGCAGTGGCTTCAGCAGTGATGCTGCCCACAAGGCATTACTGCCCTTCACGGGACGTTCCCGTTGCCTACCTTCAACCAGCAGCAAATGCTCCCTGAGGGGGATTTCAGCGGTTCTGTTTTACTTGGCATAAAAATGAGCTGGGAATACTGAGGCAACCTTTTACTTCGTTTCAGATACAAAGGCAATAAATTCCAGTTGAGGAAAAGTAATGAGAAGCTGGAGGTAGTAATCTTTTAAATTGTTCCAGGGTGATCCACAGGAGCACATCCATCTCCGCCCTCACCGTGCCTATTTTTGCAATCAGACATTTCCAGTGCTACCCTAAGCACATGGGGCTGCGTTAATTCAGGCAGACAGCTCCTCGGGAAGTACGCTTTGCAGAACAGTTGGAGTGGGGTGTTTTGGTTCAGCTATTTCAGCATGTGTCTGTTGCCAGATGGGAAATCGTATCACAGGCAGACAGTTAACTTCTATCCAATTACTTTTATTTTTACAGATAGCAACATACAGTCAGCAACAGCAGAGGTGTAGACGTCTCTCTGATCAAACAAATAGATATCACTCATATACACTTAGAAAAATATTATGCAACAAGTTAGACTTAAAAATATATGGGGTTTTTTTCTGTGTGACTTAAGAAAGTGTAATACCGAGGCAGTGTAGGTTACTACAGGTTAGTTCTCTCTCCGCAGAGCTGGGAAATTATTCCGTATCACCTTGTGCATAGGTAATTTCTGCTGCTATCAGTTTATCCACAACACAGTAGAAGGTGCAGCCCAGAAGGCTCTGCCACGCTAGGCATATCTCTGACATCTGAAATAGAAGTCATCCTAGAACTCCTAAAACATTTCAGACCTGTGTAACTGTTACCAGTACATACAGGACTACTGCAGTATATTCAGGAATGTTTACATGCAATCAGATAATTGGCAGCATCATTTCTGGTAGAAATGAAGTATGATCATTAAATAGCAATAAAAAATTTGCATTTCAGAAGGCATAACTCTTTAGAAGAATTTTCTCAGAAGGATTTTCTGTTTCATGTTTAGATTCTCTCCTGAATTTTAAATTAATTCAGACCTTCTCGACAGTAGTATTATGCAATCTAAATATTACAAGTACACCATTTTTACATTTTTCTACTTAGATATTTTTCTCTATGATATGGAACTATTCTGCACTTTTAAAATAGTGAGTTACAGTTCCAGGTTGTCTCATGTAATTTGAACTCTGAACCTACTCAATTTGCAGTTCATTTAAATGAAAAGTCAGATCCCTATTACTGAGCAAGTCAGAGGATTTTTTGAAACGATGGATAAAGAAAATTAAGCCTTTAGTTTGCACTTCCAGTTTTAGAAATCATCTGAAGAGAGAAATACGTCATCATGAATAGCACAATGTGGGATTCCTTGCCCCTGGAAACCTTTTTTACTGTACATATTTTAAATAAACTTCCTTTATAAATTTTAAAATTTAATATCTAAAGAGTAATAATGTTCCAACTTCATGATATGATCTTAAATGCAATTTCTTTTAAATTTCTTTGTGAGAGAAGGATTGTGTATGTTTCGTAGTAGTGGAAAAGTCTAGATATAGGAAGGGATTTTAGTCTTGGACATCCAAAGGACTTTTTAATTTTATTTGGAAGATAAATATCTAGCCCATTTCATCTTTGTCATAGCTATCCTGAAAACAAAAAAGAACATTCAGTAGCAGTGGCTTTACTCTATTTTGTTTTTCTTTTGTTTTTTTTCTATTTTCCATGCTCACGCAGATATTCATTTCAAGCTGGGAAGTAGTGGTCCTGAGGCACCTGTGATGGGACCAGGCTACTTGCAGAAGGGAACCTGGACCTTTAGGGGGACAAAAAAACTTAGCAAAATGTTTACATAGGCAACACTCCAGCAGGGAAGAACCACATTTAATCACAGCATAGAAAAGCAAATTGCCATGAATAAAAGTAGGATGGAAGTTGGGAGAAGGCTTACAGCCATCAAAAGCACAGATCTGGAATATTCCTCCATGGGGAGCGATAGTGGAACATTTTAAATTTGCTTGAAGTTTGTTCATTTTAAAACGTGGTTTGATCCATCTAGGAGAGGGATTTTATGACTTCCTGGCCGCAGGAACAAAGGGCTGGAGCTGGCACCCAGCAAGACCCCTCCAGTTCTGCATGTCTTTGCGGCAGCACACGCTAACCAGTTGGCATACGTGTGCTGTAACTGCTTTGCCATGGAGACTGCAGCGCTCATGTTAAAACAGGTTCTTACAGAGCCCTAAAACCGATATCCCCCAGAAAATGGCACTTTCCAAATCTGCTATTTGCTGTGAATACTAAGGCGAGGTGATGAGTCAGGAGAGAGGTGAGGCTGACCCACAGCTGCCTGAGTCACACGTGGCTGCTGAGCCCGCAGGAGCTCAGAAGGTTCGACACGTGCCCCTCCCGCAGCACCTCTCCATGGCGTGCTCTTGGCACGCTCCCGGGATGAGTGCTGGTCCCCACAGGACACTCAGCTCAGCCACAGGGCCAGTCCTGGTTTCTGCCAAAACCAGTGAGCTATCATGCAGCCCACACGCTTAGTCTGCTCAGGACAACCAGGCTGCAGCGTTTAATTGATGTGCCAGAATGATTCTCGATATTACATTGCATTGGTCCTGTGCAGCCTACTGTAGCGGCAGGAGGGTTGGACTAGATGACCCACAGAGGTCCCTTCCAACCCCTACTATTCTGTGATTCTGTGATTGCATTGGCTTAATTCTGCCTTTGGATAAAGTGTTATTTCACGTATTGTTGACTCCAGTAAAATTTGAACTGCGTACCTGAAGACTTCTATTTGCCTGATTGTTTAATGGAGAACTTTAGGGGAGGATTTTGAGAGTGAAAAAATGTTGCCGTCTGCCAGTTATTTTTAGAGCCAGATGTTTGGTCAAAACATAGTTAAAGTCCCACTAATGGTGAAATCAAGTCCTGGGAAACAGGCTGTGTCTACAGAATTACATCTGTATAAAATACTTTATGGTCCTTAATCATTTATGGCTAATACTTTCTGGATGGCAACGGCTGAAGGGGTCGGTGGAAGGGCCAATGGGAGCAGGGAGGTAGACCAGTCCTATCTCATTCCACACTTCAGAGAAAACAGATCCGATATCCACTGCTTTGCCAAATAGCCAGTTTAATTTTCATAGACTGTAGGCTTGTACCAGATGTGAATATTGGCTGTAGGCCAGCTTTAAGCAAGGAGAGTGAAACACCACTACCTCCCTCTTTTTCAGTGTCTTTTCATCAAAGCACACAGGTTTCAATTAAAAAAAAGAAAAAAAAAGGCGTTTATTAATGCACATGAATTCTCCTTGCAGAGAACGGCACTGCCGTCAGCCTTGTCTGCCTGCTTGAGTCAGGACATACGCTCAACGCGATAGGTGCTGCTGGTGCCCAGACGACATGCTGCAGCCATTTACCATATGTCATTGGCATAAGCCTCGTAGGGATCAATTTCTGTGTCTCGAAGAAGGAAGACCTCTGCAACATTTTGCAGGTCAAAGGCAGCAATCCCAGTCTGTCGCCATATGGGCGAGGTATAGGTCACCAAACCAGACGGCACTGGTAAATCAGCAGGTGGAGGCTGGACGCAGAGACTCGCTTGGAATTGTCTAGGGTTTGAAAAATAAAACAATAAAAGGCATGTTCCTGACTCAGTTGCCTTGGGGGCATTAGCAAACTCCATGTCAAACAGCGCTGAAAGCAAGATGAGGTACCTGGGTTGGCAGCTCAAAATGAATCCCACCTGAGCTCAAGCAGTTAACTCTCATGAGTTCCCAGATTCCTTTGTTTCTGGTGTTATTTTAGTGACAGCAAGCTCATGGCGGTTAAGAATGCACTTTTTTTTGTAGTATAGACATCTTCTCAGTTATAATTCATGTCATTCTGCTGCATAGGCTTATTGAAATTCCTCAACATGTCACTCACCCTCAAGGCTTCATCACACTGTGTGAGTACGACTATAAAACTGTGGTGAAACAATTAATCTGGGACTTGCATTTATTGTCATTTCTATGCAGCTGAACTTTGTTCTGGTAGGCAAAACTCGTAGTGACCAGTTTGAAGGTTTAGATTTACAACAGTTTTATTTCAATATTTGCCTTGATTTTGACTTCCCAGGCTGTCCTGTTGAACATGTTGCCATTATCATTTTGTTTGTTAGACAGTGGTTTGAAAATGTGCCTGGTTATATAGAAGATCTCAGCAGCACCTTTCTGATGTACTTTCTCCCTGTTTTGTGACCCAGGGCTTGCTGTTGGTCTGGATCCACAAGGCTATGGGAACCCCGATTTCTGCTGGTTGTCTGTGCATGACACCCTTATCTGGAGTTTTGCTGGGCCCATCGTAATTGTTGTAGTTGTAAGTATGGTGGAGTTGGCATCCTGAGCTGTCTCTGCCTTGCTGCTGCCTTTTCTTTTACATTTTGTGAACCAATAGTTGTAATGTGAAGCCACTGTATTCTTTACATTTGAAGCCAATGTACTCAAGCTTGCTTCGTTTGCTTAAAAAGATAAGGCATGAGCTAAGCTCCTGGAAATCAGAGGGCTGCTTGCCAGTGTGAAGATGGCTTGTGGAGCAATGGCTGTATGGCCAGAAACCTATTTATTTTTTCCTGTTTGCTTTGTTCCATGATTGAAGGGTTGGTTGATGGGCATATATGACATTTCAACAAAATGAGCCATAGCAAGTACCTTCATCCAGAAGTCCTAACGGGATATTAAATAATTCTAGTTCCCTAAATTTAAAAGAAGTGGCTGGTTTTTAACTTCTCCCTTAAAACATCCCTCAGTAGCAGAGCACCAGAAGATACATATCCATGGTGTGACTGTATCTTGAATACCAACTCTGGTCTCCTCATCTTAAAAGTATGAAGTAGACCTGGAAGTGGTGTAGATTGGGGTCACGCGTCATCAGAGACATGGGACAGCCCCTGCTGGAGGAGCAACTAAGTGGAGTAGGAGCCTTCAGCCTAGAGAAGAGAAAGCTGCAGAGAAAGGGATAGGGAGGAGCTTGTAATAGCATGGTGGCCTGGAGAATGTGACTGTGGAGCCAATCGATCAGTGCCTTTTCTAGCACAGTTAGTTGTAGGAAGTGGCAGACTCAGAACAAACAGGACGAGCTACACGGTCGCTCCACAGGGAGCTAAGTTTAAAACTCACAGAGACAAGACAACGGTGGTGGTAAAGCTCTGCATGGTTTCAGAAAATAGCTGGAAAAATTCCCAGCATCGATATTTGCAATGAATGGTTCAGTATAAAGGCACCACCTCACCTAATACATCCCAGCTCTGGAAATCAGTGGAGGCTTGGAGGAGTATTCCGAGGAATTGTCGCTGTGTGCTTGCTCTGTTACGATCTTCTACTTTAGCCCAGCTGAAACAAGACGCTGGGCTGAGTGGACTCTGGTCTGGACCAGGACAGCCATTCTTGAGTTTTTATGTTTCACTCAAGCCTCGTTGCGTAGGACCATCTTACTGGCTTTCATCCAGATCAGGTCCCAGGATGTTCTTGACGATGTTGGCTTGAAACGAGATGAATCTTGAAACTTCGAGACATGCAAATTGAAGGAAAAATATTCTTGGCACCACAAGCCATTTTAGGATAAAAATTGCATTGTCATTGAAAACTGAGCCCTAACAACTGTATAGAAGGAATCCATGCTGTTATTTCAATTTCCCTTTCAGGTAAACACTGTCATCTTTATACTGGCAATGAAAGCATCGTGCAGACGAAGGCAACGTTCATTCGAAAAAAATGGAGTTGTGTAAGTTTGGGTTCAAAAGCATGTAGAAAAAATTCTGGCCAGGAGTAATACAGGGACAGAATTGCCTGAAAGCAAGTGTTTGGGCAGGAAATAAATGAGATATTTGGAGGAGACAGTCAGCATTGGTAGAGGTGATTGGAGCTGCTTCGCCAGCACCTTCTGCTGGACTTCCTTTGGAGGCTCTGTAAAACCTCCACCATGGTGCTCTGCACCACCACCGAGTGTAGGCAGGAGAAGGGAGGGGAGAGGGAAAGGAGTGGTCTCCAGATGATATCATTACAGTCCTTCCAGATCTTTCATCTCACTCCCTACTGCACTGTCACTTCACCTCCACCCGTGTCATGCCCTGGTAGAAATAGTTCTGGGTCTCCCCGTGCTTGCCCATGGCTCAGAAGGGTCTCCCCTCCTGAACGCCTGGGTGACCGGCCACGTTGTGGCTGAGACCTGTTGAGGTTCCCGTGCTGAGGGCCAGCCTCCCCCAGTCCCACTCCCCATGGGACAAGCAGAAAGCCTCGCAGGCTGCAGCCTGCCGCCTTCCCGAGCTGCTGTGGCAGCCTGTTCCCATTAACGTCTGTTTTGCCCAGAGCTCAGAATTTACCTGTGAACTGAAACAGAATTAGCCCGTGGCAAGACAGCCCCTTTTTTTTTTTCAGAGAGGTAGCTGTATGAGATTTCAAAAGGTTCCCTCTAGCTATTTTTTCAGCGCTGGCTGTTGGGTAATTTTTTTAAGCTTCTTTTTTTAAATCTCTAAACAAATGGAGTATAATTGCTACTTAATGGCCGCTATTTTACTCATAATATAAAACTTTTGCCACTAGAATTGTGACCATCTTTTGAAAGCGTCTATGGAAATAATGTTTTTAAGCAAACAACTATTCCCCTGAGTGCCCTCGATCCAAAACCTTGGGCTGTAATGTTGAGAAGGAATGTGAGATTGAACTCAACAAACAGACATGAAATAGCCATTTACCACCCCGATCTCTTCCTCAGAGTCAACAAGGCTGAACAGCATGGGCTTGGCAAACAGCCTGGTTTGTTTGAAGAAAACCTTGGAAACGAACTTGAAAAGAAAACACCTTTCTTTCACCTGAGTGTGCTAGGTCACTGAGTAGTGCAGTGAGAGAGCTGGGAACTGGAAGCTGGTGAACACTGCCCTGATTTTCCCAAAGGTCCTTTCCAGTCGGAGAATCGTTGGGCACGTGGCACCGCCCGTGCGGAGAACTTGGGCTGTTCTCTGGTGTCCTGTCACACTGCAAACTCCCGTTTATGTTTGCTTTACAGCTCTGTGCTGCGAACGGCGTTCCTGCTCTTGCTGCTCATCAGTGCCACGTGGCTGCTGGGGCTGATGGCGGTGAACAGCGACGTCATGACGTTTCACTATCTCTTTGCCATTTTCAGCTGCCTGCAGGTAAGTTGGATGGTGTCTTGTCCACGGCAGACCTTGGTGAGCACACTGCTGCACCCAGACCTCAAAAACCTGCTAAACATGAGATGTCTTAAGAAGAACAGAGATGTCAAGTATGATTTTTGCTCTCTCTTCTCAAAGCGAGAGTTCTTTTCACCAAAACCGTAACTTTGAGTAATTGTGTGTCTCACTTTTAGTCATTCTAAAGATAAGTATTCTACTGTTGTAACCTGTGACAGGTAAATAATAGAAGGCAATTATATCTCTGTCTTTCTAGAGACAAAAATCTTTGTTACTGCCTTCTGCCTGCTCATTGTTAACAGTTGTTCTGTTGCTACGGCAAATAAGAGACTGTTTTATTTCACCCGGAGTGGATGGCTCCAAGTTCAAGGCTTTCGCAAATGAAGTTACTGTTTAAGGAAATGAGCCAATTAATGACTTTCAAATACAACTCCTTGCATTAGGGATTTACTAGGTTGCCTGTCTCAAAGATGCAGATCGTAGTTATTTGTAGGAGACCTGGCACGGAAGTAGTTATGAAAGGTTCATGTTGGTTACAGCTTGAATGTGACCAAGGATGGCAGTAACTGTCATGGCAAGTGCCTGCAGTATTAGAACAGCTACTGCTAGCAGGCACTGTTCTCAGCTGCAGCACAAAAGCCACAGATTGCAACCATAGAGAAAAAGAAGTCTGATGGGTCTTCTCCGGAGATGACTATCTGTGCCCTGGAAGCACACCAGATAGGCCAGCCTAGAGCGAGGTTGTTTTGCCACTGCAACTGGTATTCTCTGAAATAAATACACCTACTCAGGCTGTAAAACCAGGCTTCCACAAGCCCAAAATAAAGTTAAATTAAATATAAACCTGATGAGAGGGAGGAAAGTGAGCAGCTGGAATTCTCCAAACTTGCCCAGAGAGGCACAATGGTATGCGGCGTTTCACGTCATTGCCTTCTTTGAACTTGTATTTTTAAAGAGACATTTATGTGAATTTTATTAATGAATAATCCCAGAGTGCTAATGCCAGCTAAGTTCACATTTGATTGAAAGTTTAGAAAGTGAGCTTGAAGTTTAAAGTTTCTCTAAGTCAACTGCTTTGGCTGAAATCATGAAGTGCAGGCATCTTGTGATGTTGGTACAGCTGCAGCTTCACGAGTGATTTGCTTCTATATACTACATCTCCAACCAAAATTGATAACAGTTTGGCAGTTGCATGAATTTTCTCAGAGCAAATACATCTGAAGGCACACATGTGTGTGCCCCCTGCCCCCAGCGAAAGCTGTTACTGGCAGCCAACAACTGCCTAGCCCTGAGGATTTCAGTGATTTTCCCACCAGGAGGTGTTGCTGAACTGAGGAACATATGGAGCAGAAGTTGGGACCTCTCTGACCCCCGTGTCTCTCCACATTTCACAAGGCTTTCTGAAGTTCTCTAAGCAACAGTATTAAGGACACCTAGCACAGAAGTTCCCCATTTCCAGAAGTTTTCACTGAAGGCTATGGTATTTTTTATGTGCTGCTATTGATTTTTTTCTCATCATCAGTGTAAAAGTTCTAAAATCTTCATGCAGTTACAACCCTGAAACTCCCTGCAGTGTCTTCCAGTGGGACATTGAGGTCCCCATTAGATATTTTGAGGCGGACGTTTCCTCCCAGACAAGGGAGGGTGACACCTACCGCAAGCTCTGCTCTGAAAATCGTGGAGGAACGCATCCTTGTGTGTATTTTCCTGGGCCCTTTACGCACATTTGAACATGGAGGGAAATTATGAAGAAGTCCTAGGAGATCAATGAATGCCATTTCAGTCAAAGACAGAAAGTAGTTATGGCTATTGAAATCATGGACTGCGAACTAGAGTTGAGGGGTTATTTCGAGAAGGCTGTTCTCTAATAGCTGTTTGTATTTGCAGTTCAGTAGCAATGAATCATTTAGATTTATTCTTGCTCTCTCTCAAATGATCCAGGGGCTGTTCATTTTCTTCTTCCACTGCGTATTTAATAAAGAAGTCAGGAAGCACTTGAAGAACACTTTAACTGGAAAGAAACCTCTTCCAGATGATTCCACTGCAACAAGAGCTACGTTATTAACTGTAAGGAAAAAAGGCTGGGAAAAAAACATCCTCTTGGTGGTAGAAGTTACCTAAATACACTTATAGATGGCTTGTCCGTAGTTAAGTGAATTGTCTGATTGATTTCAGTGACTTGTACAAAAATTACCGATGGCCTTTCTCAAAAGTTTCAGTTAAAGTTTTAATTAAAACTTTTGAGAGGAAATAGGTTTGTTCCTCAGCCTCAAAAATCTCTTCCTTCCTTCCTTCAAGACTTAATGCGCTTGTGGGTAACACGGATTTTTGGTAGGATCATTCACTATGGCTTTGTGTCTTTTTTTTTTTTTCCCTTCAGCGATCTCTGAACTGTAACAACACATACATAGAAGAGCCAAATATGTATCGCACAACTATTGGGGAATCCACTGTCTCCCTGGAAAGCACCGTCAGGTCAGCCAAGAGCCACAATAGCTACCTTGCTTATATTCTCAGGTAATCAGGTGGCAGGTGCATGGCTTTCAGGTGCTTGCCTTTCCCTTTTCATTGCTCTTGTGGAAAACAGAAATGTTGTGGTTCAAATGCTGCTTGTTTTATGTCGTAACAGTTCTGGTTTATGTGACTGTCATTTTCTTCCATGTGTTTTCTTTCATATGCATCTGCGGTGGGGAGTTCCAACAGTGCAGTGGTAGCAGAACTGTTAGGTTAACTCTATGGGCTGTGCTGCTTGCCTGTTAAAATTCGGTTGTGTCTCAAGGAGTGGGATGCAGCTGATTAACTTCAGGGCTTTTCAGAGTGTGATTCGTGTGGCCAAAGGCAGACGGCTACATTAGGATAACCTGTGCCTTGCTGTAAAAGAGACCCCATTGACAATCAAGCGTAGGCTGGCTAGCGTCCACTGCAGCTGTCTGCACTTGGCCAGAAGAATCTCATCTGCATGTCTGCTTTGTTGTTAATCACAGTCAAGTGATCAAGAAATTTGTCTCCTCTTTTTATTCTCTAAGGGATGAGGCTGCTCATAAGCTCAGTGGATCCTCAAGTCAAGCGAGGGCTGGTCAGACTGAAGCAGATTCCTCCATTTTTCATAGGAATCCATCAAAATCCAATGGTAAGGATTATTTCTAAATGCTTTGTTTTGCACCTTTACCTTCTCAGCACTTTTTTCAAAGGCTGCTATGATAGGAAGAATGGTTAGTCTGACTTGATGTGTCTAATTCTCATTATGCTCTTGGCATAATGAGCTATGCAATGGTTGCTTTACTAGGGAATCCTGGAATGGAAATATGATGTATCTACTCCTTGTGATCGTTTGGTTTTAATCTGACAGCTGTCACAGCTGTTGACAGTTTCTGGCGTCCCCTTTCTTTCTCACAAGTTATGTGCTGTTGCTCTTGATTTTTAACTGGAGATCTTTTAACGTTTGAGACCTTGAGGCAATATCCTCTTTCACTGCTATGTGTTTTGTACAAGAAAATGAGAAGCGTCTCTTGCCTGACTTCCTTTCATTTGGGGTCTTGATGTTAAATTTTGTTGCCTTGTAGCAGTTTTTAAGAGTGCCTTTGCAGATTCTTGATGTTTCTAAGTACCTTGGTTTGCCCGTGTGTTGTGTTGATTGAGATCCTGTGGAGTTACTGTTCTGCATATTGAATAGGGTAAAATGTGTCTCTGTTCTGTTCTGCACCTCGCAAGCACGTGAAAGGCCCTGTCCCCTGCCTGAGCCAAGCAGCTCTGCTTCCCGTAGTTACTTAGGTGGATGCCACGGTCCGTGTGAATTAACCCTATGTACACTTACGATGTAAGAGCTCATCCCTGGTGTGGCCTGAACCAGATACCTGCCTTGCCTTCTGCTTGTGCATTTGCCTGATAGCTTTGTTCAGCTCCTGTCCGCACTCTCATTGCTGCGTTTCCCCTTTCCGCGTTTGTAGAGCACGATTCAGACTCCGACAGCGAACTGTCCCTCGATGAACACAGCAGCTCGTACGCCTCCTCCCATTCATCAGACAGTGAGGAAGACGGGCTTGAGCCGGAGAAAAAGTGGAACACGTCCGCTTCCAAGAATAATGAACGTGGCCCTCTGCACAGCACACCCAAAGGTATTCCCAGCGCGAGGGCAGAGCAATGGCCTTATTTCCTGCTTTAAAATAGTGTTAGAGCAGATGGGACAATTTTGCCAGACCACCAATACGACTGAGGCAGCACCCCTGCCATTGTGCCTCGCTTTTCCTTCTTCCCAAGGGCTTGTTCGCAGGGGTGACTGAGCGCAAGTAAAAGGATGCTTGAGCAAATCTGCGACTTACGGTGCTCAGACAGACAGCAGTCACAGGGTTTGCAGGCAGGTGCTACACAGCCAGGAAAGTGTCACGTGAAGGAAGAGGAAGAGGAGGAAGGAGCTGGTTATTTTGTGGGCACAGGGAAGAAATTCCTGCCTCTCCTCACACAAAACAGGCGTGTGGATTTAGTGGCGTTGGGGAGGTCATGGACCTAAACTCTGGGAGATCATTTTGCCATTGATATCAATACTGCGTGGCAGAGCGAAGGCATTTCTAGGCACAGTTCATCTTGTCCTAAAGATGTCAGCTTAGAGTGACAGATGTCCAGGCTGTGTGCTGGTGCTCTGCACAGACACAGTACAAGGTACCTCAGGTGCCCTCACCCCTCAGAAGCCATCATCCCCAAGGAGCTGGTGGCATCACCAGCCGGCCCTGGAGAGCTGAGAGCGCGGGTTTGGCTTGCACCTCTCAGTAATGGAGGCAGCGACCTTGCTCTGGGAAGGGTTTGGACACCCTGCCGTCCTACCGGGCGTGTTTTGTGGGCATTGCTGCACCCCGAGGGCAGTGCACTCCAGCAAGGGTGCTCTGGAGCATTGCTGTGGATTGACACACAACTCCTCCCCAGCCACAGGGAGCAGGACTGGCTGGGCAGCGGTTGAGCAAAGCTATCAAAAGTGGTTTTCGAGCTAGTGTTTTTTTGCATTGCAGTCGATACTGCTCCCAATCATGTGAAACCCTATTGGCCCACAGAGTGCCTAACGGCCAGCGACGGCGAGGACCCCAGCGGGAAACAGAAACTCAAAGTCGAGACCAAGGTCAACGTAGAGCTTCACAGGGAGAACCAGGTGAACCACAGCAACGAAGCACCCCAGGACAAGGAGAACGAAGGGCAGCAGAAGGAGAACAGACCTCTGTCCCACCAGAATAACCAGCAGCCGGAGCAGAGGAAAGGTAGCACGGCCAACCCAGCCTCACAGCTGGACTGGGAGACCAAAGGGTTAATGACATTAGTTAGTTCATGTGGTAGCTCTATCAGGGAAGAGTATTTTCCGAATGGCTCCAACCTGTGTAACGAGATACACCATGGGAAGCTAGTAGGTAGTTGCTGAAGTTTAGTGTTTTGGTTTTGAAATCAAGTGACAAGCTGGAAGTCTAATGAATATAAAATATCACTTATTGCATGTGTTCAGCTTGATAAATGAAATTACTGATATGTTTCAAAATTCTCATTGTTCCCTTTTTTCTGTAACAGGCATCTTAAAAAATAAAGTCACCTACCCTCCCCCGCTGGTCGATAAAAATATGAAGAATCGACTGCGGGAAAAGCTGTCAGATTACAATCAGACCACGGTCTCATCCAGGACTGCTTCCCTGGGGACAAATGATGGGGTCCGCTCTCCCTCGGACTCGGGGGTGACAGTAAAAAACGCCCGGAGGGAGCAGTCTCGAGACCAGCTCAACGGCATGGCCATGAATGTCCACGTGGGAACAGGACAGGCTGACACCTCAGACTCGGAGTAAGTGCCACATCGGGATGCCCTGGCAGACCTCCCGTGGCTCTGGCCTCTCCTGCTTTCCAGCCCCAAACTCCCACTGAGCAAGGATTTCACTTGCTGACTGGACCAGAGTCCTTCACCAGTGACTGTCCTGAGTGCTTGTCCACACCATATCTGCAAGCCACAGTGTTTCACTGATGAGAAGGCCCAAACCAGGTATCACGAGCAAGGGTGCCATGACAGATGCCTGTCACTGGTCACCCTGACATGTTCTGAATTGACAAGCTGACATGTTGCTGGCACGCTAGCGGCTAGAGCAACCTAGCTCTGCCCCGTCCCCTTGCTGTGGGACTTGCTGCGCTTGGCGTGGTGCCCCCTGGTCACAGCGAATGAGGCTTCCACATCCACACGAATTGTCTGTTCCCTCCCTGCCTGGTCAGCTGCCGAGGTCATTGCCTTCCCCAGCCCATCACCAGGACAAGGATGGGCTTCTTCCGCTCCGTCATGCTGCCAGGCATCCAGGACGGCCCAACAATGCCCACCTGTGGCCCCAGGAGCCGTCTGTGCCCTCAGGGGTGCTCTACTCAGGGCTACCCCCTGCTCCTGCTTCTCTGCCCCTAACCCCTAACCTTCATCCCACTTGGACCATAGGAACAGCGGAGTTTCCCTCTGTTTTTCACCTGTCCCCCCCTTTTGCAGCAGGGAGAGTGTTTGGGGCCATTAGGGACCTGTGACTAATGGTGTACAGTTAATTATAATGTGGCCGGTACGAGGCACCTAAGGGAGAGGGTGGTGGCAGGACAAAGATGGAGCAGCAGTTCCTGATGCGTGTCCAGTAAGACCAGCAAGAGCTGTCACGGGTGTCCAGCAGTCAGCATGGAAGAGGGCAATGGGGGCAAGACCCCAGTGAAGAGGGCCCCCAAGGAAGCCCAGTGTTTTGGGGGGAAAGGCGCTAGGCTAGGGGGAGCACGGGGTGGGTGTCCAGCTTGGGCAGAGGGGAACCATTGCTGGGGCAGGAGAGCCAAAGGCTGCAGAGAAAGTGCCATGTCAAGCTTGTGACCCTGCATTAACAGGTGCGTGATTCCCACCCGCTGCATGGCCATCGGTGTGCGTGTTTGCCAGTGTAAGCTAGATCAAACATTAGCAAAAGGCTGAGCAAGCTTTCAGCCAAAGGGTGTTCTCAGAAACCCTGTTACTCATCGTAATTCTCGCATTTAAAATGAGGACAGCAGCCATACGTGAAGTCTGCGCAAACATTTTACGCACATGGTGCTCCTTGTATTAACACAAATAATAGTCACGTTCTTTCTCCAAACCAAGAGAGAATTTTTCAGCCAGCTTTCACCCTGACATTGTCCCACCATTCCTTAGACACCCATGTCATCGGGGTGCACAGGCCATTCCCAGCTCAGCATCAAAGGACATCCCAGTATAAAAATACATCTTGGGGTTGCTGAGAACTGGCTGTTGAAATACATCCTGGTTAGCCAGGAAACAGAGATGTCTTTAACAAGCAGTAACTGCTTGCTGCTACCAGGTAATGCGTTCATCACTGGAGAATAACCAGCCAGCTTGTGCAAGGCAACTGGTTTATCTCCGCGCCTTTTGCATACTGTAAAACGCTGCTGTTTGACGGCAGAATGCATGGATCTGTCTGAAATACCAGGTTTCTGGCAGCCTGTGAGATCTGTGTGTGAACCTCACGTTTTCACCTAAGCGTTACCCAAAAGCAGGCCCTCTGTAGAGCTTCCTCTAAAGAGTGCTGCTCTCGTGTATGACCTGGAATCGCCTCTCCCAGCTGGTCTTCCCCTCCGGGGCAGCATCCCCCGTGCAGGCGTGGGATTGGCAAGGCGCGGTGACTCCAGGGGCGTGAGCCCATCCTGAAAAGGCTTAGGTGGCGTGGGGTGGAGCGGTTTGCCGGTGCCCGTTTAACCCTAAGCCTGTATGCTTACTTCTTCTCGCTAACAGAGGCAGTAACGAAACTTCAATTTGAACCATCAGGAAACTGTGACCGCTGCTGCGTGGTTCTGGACTCCTTGCCGCGGGGTTGCCGCCTGCCCACCTCGGACCTCGTCGGAGTGGCTGCGTAGCAAGGAGGACGAAGTGGGCTTAGATTCCTGCATGGTTTCACATTATGGTGGACTCCTGACCGCTCGTGGCAGAGACACGGTGCCTGGAGGTGCCGGCGATAAGGCCGCTGCGTGGTACGCTCCGCGTGGCATGAACCTGTGCCAAAACGCATGGAAATGGCCACAGGGATGCACTGTGAGGGACGGATACCTGCTCACAGCGAGGACCGTGCCACAGGGGTTGCTTGTTACTGGGGAGAACCGAGGAAAAACACATTATTATTGCAACGGACCTACAGTAAGTCAGTCCATCAGCCTTAAGACAAGCACCAGGAGACGCCTCTTGTGGAGTTTTGTCTGGCTCCAGTGTGAACCCTTCGGCTTGCTGGGCTCTGGGGAGGAATATCCCAACAAGTGTCCTTTTGTTTCTATGCCAGCATCTCTATCCACCCCCCTATGGACTCATCATCTTAAGAAAAAAAAAAAATCCTTTA